AGATAGTAATAAATTGTATACTATTCATAACAAATTATTTCTAAAAAAGATAATAGTGACATCCATCGAAAATCATAAATTTAACGATGTTTCTAAGTTAAATTTTTAATCAATAAGAAGTTTTAGTGTTTAGTTTTTTATCTACAAATAAACTGATAAAAATTGCAATTAGTACAAAACTCTTATTATCCTTATAGTTTCTATCATGAAGGTGTTCTCTAACCTTCATGGTTTCAATAAAAAGATTTTTATATATGTATTGATAATTATAATATCATAAATTAGTCGATTATTGAAAGCGAAATGGCGGTATTTCATAAAATTTAACAGTGTTTGTTGACTATATGTAGATAAAGCTTGACCAAGTCAATGAAAAGAGATTGTTTGGCGATATTAACAACTAAACAAGACATTGCTACTTCTATATGCTATAATAATATGCTCATGTTATATAAATGAAAATGTATAGTTGAATATTTTATGTGCTTGAACGAATTAACCACTGGACCCGACATATAAGCGGACTTACCTATACCAGTCTTGTCAGTAACCAGGAAATTCTAGCCTTGGTCGTTTGTTTTTGCGTCAGTCTGACTAAATGTTCAGTTAAATCGTGTAATAACTAACTATAATATATATATATATATATATATATATATATATATATATATATATATATATATATAATATATATATATATATATATATATATATATATATATATATATATATATATATATATATATAATAGCGGCGGAAGCAGCAATGTTTCTTTTCACTTGTAAGTACATTATTTTATTACATTTATTGTTATTTATCACAAAATTTAATCAAATGTAAAATAAAATTTTGTATTATCCAACTATGTTAAATATTGTTAAGAACTTGAGGTTCGTGACAATAAAAATTGCCGATAGAATTACCAAAATTAACTCTTTAATTCACTACACTAATTAAAACTTAGAAGACATTAATAATTAATTACACTGATTCACTTTATTTCGCTCCGAAGCTTCGTTTGTCTCATCAAATTCAATACTTTCCCGCTCGCATCTTGCAGCGCCTTTAAATACACATTATCACCGAAACATCCCGAATATTCAAGTAAATACGCGCGCCAATCGATTAGGCGCCGAAAATTTGAGTGTCGGGCTTCTAGAAGCTTATTTCATCGTTTCGATACTAGATGGCGCAGTCGGTTGAAAGATTAATGATGTCATTTTCTGGAAAGCTCCCCTCGGTCTCGTCCCCGACACTAGATGGCGCTAGTGCCGGGTACATGACGTCAACTTAGGCGCGCAACACTGCCCCCTCCTAAGATATGCTAGTGCCGCGCATTATCGGCGCCATAATAACGCGCCAGGCGATCCACATGGACGATCTTAGGAGTCCCTCTTGCGCCTTTCTGTATCTGGTAGGTTACATTGTTGATCCTGCTTACAATCCGGTACGGGCCGTCTCATTTAGCTTGAAGCTTAGGAGATTTACCTTTGCTGCGGACTGGATTGTGCAACCACACTAGTGAACCTTCGTCGAACCCTTTGTTGTTCATTTTGCGGTCATACCGGGTTTTCATCTTTTCAGACATTTACTGGCCCGATTGTCTGACGTGCTCATAAATGTCATTCATTTTGTTCCGCAAGTCATTTGCATAATCGGTTAGACTCCGTGGGGCATCAGGTGGTATCCCGGTGATCAGGTCTGCAGGCAGCCGTAATTCTCTTCCAAAGTTTGCAAAAGCTGGTGTCACTGCTGTACTTTCGTGAACAGCGCTTCGATATGACAACAGAAACGGTTGTATGTACTTGTCACAATCTAGTTGCCGATTGTCTACAACTTTTGCTAGGTACCTCTCTAATGTCTGATTAAATCGTTCTACCATTCCATCAGATTGCGGGTGATAAGAAGTCGTTCTTGTTTTATGAGTACCCATAACTCGGCAAGTTTCCTGGAATATTTGAGACTCAAAATTCCTTCCTTGATCGCTGTTGATCTCTAAAGGTACTCCAAAACGACAGAAGACTTCATGAACAAGTTTATCTGCAACTATAGAAGCTTCTTGATTTGGAATGGCGAAGATTTTCGGCCACTTAGTGAAGTAATCCATCACAACCATGAAATACTTGTTACCGCTTTCACTCTCCGGAAACGGCCCCGCCACGTCAATGGCTATTCTCTCCCATAGTGCACCAACATTGTACAACTTCAACGCACCTCTACTACGAGTCTGAGGTCCCTTTACAGCCGCACAACTTGTACATTTGCGACACCAGTCCTCGACGTCGTTTCGACATTGGACCCAGTAAAACCGTTGTCGGATCTTCAGTAGAGTTCGTTTAACTCCCAGATGGCCTCCTGTACAATCATTATGGTACAGCTGTAGAACATCCGGTACTTTAGCTTTAGGGACAACCATTTGCAAATGACAGCTGTCTCCCCGAACATTTTCCCATTTACGGCACAGAACTCCATCCTGAAACAGCAAGCTGTCCCACTGGGCCCAATAGCTTTTAGTGGTCGAACTCATCGCTGAGACGTCGCTCCATTTGGTCTTGGGAGCACTGGCCTTCATCCATTCCAGAATCGGCTTGGTGTTTGGATCTTCCTGCTGTGCACGTTGTAAGCTGTCCTTTCACTCGTTGCTGAGGTGGTCTGCCCTGAGCATCCTCACTGATACCACATCCTTACTCTCTTGCCTAGTACAATGTTTGCAATCTTCAGGACAAGGTCTTCTTGACAATGCATCTGCGTTGCCATGAGATTTCCCGCTGCGATGTTCGATCTCAAAGTCGTATTCCTGCAGTAATTCAATCCACCTCGCAACTTGTCCTTCTGGATTTTTAAACTGCAATAGCCATTTTAGTGCAGCATGGTCAGTTCGTAAGTGAAATTTTCGCCCAAGAAGATATTTGCTAAAATGCTGCAACGACTTTACCACGGCTAGCAATTCGCGTTTTGTGACACAATAGTTCCTTTCCGGTTTTGACAACGACTTGCTGAAGTACGCTATCACGACCTCTTGGTCACCATTCCGTTGAAACAACACACCGCCAAGTCCTATACCACTTGCGTCTGTGTCAACTATAAATTCTTTGCTTGCATCAGGGTATCCCAAAATAGGCGTTTTGCACAGACGGTCCTTGAGCTCCTGTAATGCGATATTGCAACTTTCATCCCAGCAGAAATGTCGCTTCTCCTCGGTTAGCTTATGCAGAGGTTTGGCTATATCTGCAAAGTTCTTCACAAATCGCCCGTAATAGGAGCACAAACCCAAAAATGCTCTAACCTGCGTCTTGTGTTTTGGAACCGGTCAATCCTTGACAGCTGCGATTTTCTCCGGATCCGTGCGGATACCTTCTTCCGACACTACATACCCCAAAAAGTTGACTTGCCGTTTGAATAGTGAACATTTCTTCGGACTCAACTTGAGGTTGGCACTCTGAATCTTCATGAGCACGCGTTCCAGGTTTTGAAGGTGTTTCTCAAACGTACGACCCACGATGATGATGTCATCCAAGTAGACCAGACAGGCATCGCCAATTAGCCCGGTAAGTACAAGTTCCATCAGCCTTTCAAACGTTGCTGGAGCATTGCACAACCCAAACGGCATTACTTTAAATTGCCACAGACCCTTTCTCGTCGAGAACGCAGTTTTCTCTTTGTCCTTAGGGTCCATTTCAACTTGCCAGTAGCCACTTTTTAGATCCAGCGTGCTAAACCACTTTACTTCCGTAAGCATGTCCAGCGTATCATCAATTCTTGGCAAGGGATAGCTGTCCTTCTTCGTAACGTCGTTCAGACGGCGGTAGTCAACACAAAACCGCATGCTGCCATCCTTCTTCTTTACCAGCACCACGGGTGAACACCATGGACTAGAGCAGGGGTCGGCAAGTAGTTTTAGGTAGGGTCCGGATAAACCTTGAAAATTTTTACAAGGTCCAGAAAAAAAAACAACTGATAATAATTAAGTGTTAGGCAGCTATTTATTATAGGAGTAAAATTCAGAATTATAAAATTTTAGAATTAATGTGAAAAATTGCATCGACGGTCTTGAGCTAGGTTTTTATAGTTTAGTTCTCGAGAAGAACAGCAAATTCGAAGAGTGTCTTCTAAGTGAGCGTCCTTTAATCTCGAACGATATTTGTTTTTCAAAAAATTCATCTTTGAAAAAATGTTTCGCATACGTATGTCGAACCAAACATCGTGACCAAATTCATAGCAAGTTTTTTGCAATTTTCATATTTTACTGGGACATGTTTGACCCAAAATTCTTCAGTTGACACAGTTTTATATATTTGCAAAGACACATGTTCTTGCAGATCGATTATTTCCATTTGAATGGCTTTGACAGATTAAACAACTTGGCAGCCACATCTGTCCATTCTGCTGCTACATCAACTTCGGTTTGTTTTCCAATCTAAAAGTTGGAATTGTGGCAATTCGTCCAGATGGCCAAAAATGTTGTAAACACTGCAATATCTTCTTCAGAGTTCTCCTTTTTATATTCCAAAATTGTCGGAAAATGAACAAATTCTTACGACGAAAACCAGACACGCTTTGTATCAGATCACATATTAATTTTCCATTTCCTTGTGACTCTGTGTTGAGCGCATTTAAATATTTCAAAATATCTTTTAGAAAAGCCACAACCAGCATATTGCGCTTATTTGTTACAAACTCAAGGTGCTTCTTAGCTCCCTGCGTATCTAAGTTTTGCAAGAAGGAGGTTACTTGTTCTTTTATTAGCCAAAAACGTTCAATAACTTGACCTTTACTTAGCCAACGAACATTGTTGTGTTGCAGTAAGTCAGAATACGCTGAATCACAATCAAAAAGAAACTCCTTGAAATGTCGGTGCTGAAGAGCAGAATGAGATCTCATAAAATTTACTAACTTCACTAAGCTGTCCATCACTTCTTTCAGTGTAGCGCTAAGTTTTCCACAAAGGGCTGCCTGGTGAATTATGTATCAGTGCACAAATATAATATAATATATCCATATTAGGCCTGGATTTTTCTTTCTTTTTCTTTGCCAATCATTGCTGGGGCCCCGTCAGTTGAAAGCGACACAATTTTATCGTAACTGATGTTAGATTTAGTAACAAATTCATCAATTACCTTAAATAAATCTTCTCCTTGAGTGTTACCTTTTAGTGGCAATATTGTTAGCAACTCTTCCCTAAAAGTTTTAGACTCAATGTCAAGAAATATGACAAAAATTGACATTTGTTCATCATCAACAATGTCACATGACTCATCAAGTGCTATAGCGTAGCAAGGTGCCTTTTGCAGAAGTTCGAAAAGGGTGATTTTAATATCAGCAGCTAAAATTTCAGTTCTTCGCGTATTGCTTCTTGCTGATAGTGGAATATTTTGAATTCCAGCGACAACCTCTTTTTTTTCTTCAAAAAGTGCCGTGACTGCTGCCAACATACATTCCTTCACTATCTCAGAATCCGAAAATGGTTTCTGGTGTTTATTAAGCGTCCAGCACACACGTAACGCTGCTTCTGTGGATTTTTCTTGGTCGCTCATGCAGCGAACTAGTAATTTTGTGCTTTTATTGTAAGAACGGAGATGTGCCTGAAGTTTTTCTTTACGAGCCTCACTGCCAAGAGGAAAGTTTTTGTGGAATTGCTGATGAGTCGTTTCATAGTGTCGCTTCAAATTTCCACTTTTAACAATAGCAACAGTTTTATTGCATATAAGGCACATTGAAACTGTTTGAGGCAGCGTAAAACGATATTGTTCAGTCCATTCTTCTAGAAACCTCCTATTTTCACTGTCCACTTATCGTTTTTTAGGATCCATACCACGCTTAGGTACAAAAATATAATTTAATTAAACGAACGAAAACTCGACAAATCACAAAACAAATGAACTGTTGCTCCGCGATTTGCGCTGCGACTAACCGACTAGCAGTCTGCTTTTCTCCCGACCGCATGCCCACACCCCCCGATTTCGATACTCGCGCGCGCTGTTGCTAGTACATGCCGTCTCGCTCTTGCTCGCGTGTTAACAATACCTGGCGACTCGCTAGGCCGCGATCGGTCGCAAGCTTGCAAATGGTCTTCTGAGGAGCCATACCACAGAACATATATATATATATATATATATATATAACCCTAAAAAAGGGAGCCATACGTGTGAACAAAGCGCACGGGACGACATCGGCGCGTTGTTTATGTCGATACATTTACAGCTATAAAATCATATCAGTTGTTGGCATTTTAAAAATATTTTTAAAAATATTTATTTATACTTGATATACAATACATTACTATATTTGGCGGTCCGAGGTTCAACCTTTCGCGGTCCGTCGGACCGCGGTCCGCCTTTTGCTGACCGTTGGACTAGAGAAAGGTTCAATAACACCATCCTTCACCATTCCTTCTCTGGTTTCTACTTCCTTTTCACGTGCTACCGGCAATCTTCTTGGCCGCTGACGGAAAGGCAATTCTTCTCCTGTGTTTATTTTGTGTTGAAATAAGCCAGTCTTTTCTATATCAGCATCGTTTGATGAGAATACATCGGCGTACTTGAGTAACAACTTCTTTCCCTTGACCATTTCGTTCGGGGCGAGAACGCTGCGACAGTCTTCCAAAAATGGGGTCACTCTCGTTTGTGCATCCTTGCTAGGGGTCTCACTCGATAGATATTGGCACCGACGTAACCAATCCACTTCCTCACAAGTACCAACCAGCGTGCCTGTTTCTATAATCTGTTCGCGGTCACAAAAGTTTAGCACACGTACTCCTGAGATGTCAGTGGTTCTGACCAAGGTTCGTGCTACTTTCCATGGAAGGTCATTGTTTACCCTTTCCACAAGTACACAACAGTGAGCTTGCTCAGCGTTTCGAGGAAGACTAACCGGCACAATCGTTTCCGATCTCGGCGGAAGAACAATCTTCTTAATGCTGTACACGTTCCCTGGTAACGCAACTTCCATAAAAAGTTCCTCCTGTCCACATTTCAAAACACCTTGCTTAACGTCGATCTCACAACAATTATCCCTCATAAAGTCTAGGCCCAGGATGCAGTCGTCCATTATATCAGCCACGATGACATTATGCAGGTAGATCACGTTGCCTAGCTTCAACTCCATCTCCTTCTCTCCACGGACGGGTATACGCTGACCGTGGCTGTTACCAAATTAATGCGTTCTCGGTTGTATGCGGAGTCCCCAAGGAACTGACTTATAAGTTGGGAACTAACAACCGTACGAGAGGCTCCAGTGTCTATGGTCAGTTTACACGGCATTCCGTTGACCTCGCCCTTGATGATTAGACTGTTCCAATCATGGGTTTGTGAGATCGAGATCCTTGGGGCTCTTTTAACATCAGCCAGCACCCGCTCCGCAGTTCTGGCTTTTACTCGTTTCCCTGCTGCTGCTGCTGCTGGGCGGTGCTGTTGGCCGCACTACCCTCCTGAGATCGTTCACCTTCCCTTTCTAGGGTTGGCTTAGGGCAGCTGGATCGAAGATGGCCCCTTTCCCCACAGCCATAGCACCTAGGGCTGTATCCTTTGTTGTGGTTGCGAACTGTAGTTGCTGCAACCTCCCTGACGCGATGGGAACGATGATCCTGTCGCACGGCTTCCACCTCCAGTGCATGGGCCAAGGCGTCCTTAAGCGTTTCGTGGTGCCCCAGCCTCACAGCAGCTCTGACTTCAAGGTCGCGGATGCCGTCGATGAATGTCTGCACCAGCTTCACTTCAATGAGTACAGGTACAGACCGGTATGCTTTTCGCACCAGCTTTTCCACCTCTAGAGCCCACTGCTGCAGGTTTTCATTGATGCGCTGCACGCAATCTTTAAGTTGCACACGAAAGATGTGTTCCAGGTGAGCGTCGCCATATCTCGCCTCCAATGCCTCAAGGAGCTGCTCATAAGTCACTTCCTCACCGAGAGCTTCCAGAACAGTTAAGGCCTGATCGCGCAAACAAGAGCAGTCATGGCCTGACTTTTATTCCAGTCGTTCGCCTTCATAACGGCTTCAAACTGGATTTTGTAAGCTGACCAGGAAGAAGTCCCGTCGAACGGTGGCATTTTGAACCCACGTAGCGAAGATGTTGTAGCTGCTACGGGAGCTGTAATTCTATCCCCCAGTTTGAGGTCGTCCAGCGTTTTCTTCACGTCAGCCATCACGTTCTAAACCCGATTGCTCACTTGGCTGATTCGGGTTTCAGCTTTCTCGATTCGGGTTTCAGCTTTCGCGATTTGGGTTTCAGCTTCTGACAGGCGGTTGTCATACTGAGCAACCCTATCCTTCACCTCCTTGATCTCCTTCCCGAAGGTAGCGTGAAGATCCTTCATGAGGAGCATCTGCTCTTCCAACCGACGGGCCTGTTCCTCCTGTCCGTCCCGCAGCTGCTCTTCCAAACGACGGACCTGTTCCTCCTGTCGGCGAGCCTGCTCCTGCAGCATCACCATCAGAGCACCTAAGTCAGGTGATGCGGATGTAGGAGCTACTGACGGGCCTGTAGCCGGCGGCTGGCGCTCCGACGTCTGCGGCGTTGCACCACCAAATCTTCTTTGGTCCGTCTCCTGCTGGCGTTGACTTCGGGTACGGATACCCTCCGTTTCCTCCTTAGGTAAAATCGGCATGATTTTATCCCACTTCTGACACCAATTGTTACGAGCTTGAGGTTCGTGACAAAAAAATTGCCGATAGAATTACCAAAATTAACTCTTTAATTCACTACACTAATTAAAACTTAGAAGACACTAATAATTAATTACACTGATTCACTTTATTTCGCTCCGAAGCTTCGCTTGTCTCGAGAAATTCAATACTTCCCCGCTCGCATCTTGCAGCGCCTTTAAATACACATTATCCACCGAAACATCCAGAATATTCAAGTAAATACGCGCGCCAATCGACTAGGCGCCGAAAATTCGAGTGTCGGGCTTCTAGAAGCTTAGTTCATCGTTTCGATACTAGATGGCGCTGTCGGTTGAAAGATTAATGATTTCATTTACTGGAAAGCTCCCCTCGCTCTCGTCCCCGACACTAGATGGCGCTAGTGCCGCGTACATGACGTCAACTTAGGCACGCAACAATATAGTCGATTTTTCTATGTATTGTTTACATCTGACAACCATCACAAAATGGCTGGATTATACCATTCAGAACAAATGACTAAAACTGTGGAGTGAGTCAATATGACATCGACTAGTGCTTGACCATGTCGAAAAATATATCGATATTTGACGATATGACCGAATAAATGATGATGTTAATTGTACAATACAATAACACTTAAAAATACCTATATAACAGTATCCTACAATCTGAGGTCATTAAATTTATAATAGTAATTTTTATTATTAAATAAAATATTATAAATGCAAAAATTATAATAAGTATCTGTACTTAAAATATTTAAGCACATAAATTACACGAATTTTCAGATTTCCTAGTGACCCTTCTCGGAAAAAAAAGTGGGTAGAAGCAGTTCGTAGAGATGAAACCTGGATTCTGACGAAACGCAACACAACGCCTTATGCACATTTCGATACTGCCTGTTTTAATACTAATGCAAAGAAACACAAAATGACACCAATGAAGGCAGTCTCATTGCCCATAAAGACAAGGGAAAACTGATACTTCCCTCAAGTGATACCATAGCTATTTGTCAGCACTGCAAACTCGAACTTACGAAGGGTGTTCAGAATAAAAGACTAATAAAAGATTACACAACAGACTTTCTCCTGCCGAAAGTAACAGAAACATTGCTGCAACTTCTGATGTACGAAGACATTCATTTCCATAAATTTGAAAACGACGACGTAAATCACGTCAAAGAATTAACGAAAGCCGTTGCTGAAAAGTATATAAATATTAGAACTGCTTATATAAGAAAACAACGAACAAAACAAAATCTAAGAAACACATTTTAAGAAAGATGATACATAATAAAAGTCAATAAACCTATTTAAATAATTTAAACTTAACAAAAAAATTTGACGTTTATCATAACTAATTGAACAAAAAGTTCATAACAATGTCCTGCTTCTTTTATTTTAATTAAAATTTAAATACCAGAAGCTTACCTCACCTTCATTATCCCTTTATTTCCTTTGTCTTACAGCTTATTTACGATACGACTTTTCTTTCTCAGTCGTTCATCGATATATTTTATCGACTACGTTCAAGCACTAGAATTAGAGAGAACTTCTGCGAATTTCTTATCTGTGTTTATATTAACACAATAAAATCATTGTGTGCGTTATTCTCCACTTGGTTGAACGAGTTTTCATTTTCATACATTTGTGTTTTATGTCGGGTCCAGTGGTTCATACATTTGTGTTTTATGTCGGATCCATTCGTTCAAGTTTATGTGTCTACCTATCGGCATAGCAATATTTCACCAAATTCTTTTTGCATCAAGTCCGATATAAGTATAAATGAAAATTAAATGCACTATGAGATTTATATTCATAATTGATGGAATAGATCGTGATACCGTTGATGGAGCCTTTTTTATTTTGAGATGTTAGCTTTCATATTTTCAGACATACTTAACTATTAAAA